TTTAGTCCATACCTCTTTGACTAGGTGTATTTTTAGTCTGCACCTTTTTGACTAGGTGTATTTTTAGTCTATACCTCTTTGACTAGGTGTATTTTTAGTCTGCACCTCTTTGACTAGGTGTATTTTTAGTCTGCACCTTTTTGACTAGGTGTATTTTTAGTCCATACCTCTTTGACTAGGTGTATTTTTAGTCTATACCTTTTTGACTAGGTGTATTTTTAGTCTATACCTCTTTGACTAGGTGTATTTTTAGTCTGCACCTTTTTGACTAGGTGTATTTTAGTCTATACCTCTTTGACTAGGTGTATTTTTAATCTACACCTCTTTGACTAGGTGTATTTTTAGTCTGCACCTTTTTAACTAGGTGTAATTTTAGTCTTTACCTCTTTGACTAGGTGTATTTTTAGTCTGCACCTTTTTTACTGGGTGTATTTTTAGTCTGCACCTCTTTGACTAGGTGTATTTTTAGTCTGCACCTTTTTGACAAGGTGTATTTTAGTCTATACCTCTTTGACTAGGTGTATTTTTAGTCTGCACCTTTTTTACCAGGTGTATTTTTAGTCTGCACCTTTTTAACTAGGTGTATTTTTAGTCTATACCTCTTTGACTAGGTGTATTTTTAGTCTGCACCTTTTTGACTAGGTGTATTTTTAGTCTGCACCTCTTTGACTAGGTGTATTTTTAGTCTGCACCTTTTTAACTAGGTGTATTTTTAGTCTATACCTCTTTGACTAGGTGTATTTTTAGTCTGCACCTTTTTGACTAGGTGTATTTTTAGTCTGCACCTCTTTGACTAGGTGTATTTTTAGTCTGCACCTTTTTGACAAGGTGTATTTTAGTCTATACCTCTTTGACTAGGTGTATTTTTAGTCTGCACCTTTTTGACCAGGTGTATTTTTAGTCTGCACCTTTTTGACTAGGTGTTTTTTTAGTCTATACCTCTTTGACTAGGTGTGTATTTAGTCTGCACCTTTTTGACTAGGTGTATCTTTAGTCTACACCTCTTTGACTAGGTGTATTTTTAGTCTGCACCTTTTTGACTAGGTGTATTTTTAGTCTGCACCGTGTATATTTAGTCTACACCTCTTTGACTAGGTGTATTTCACTCTGCACCTGTTTAACAAGGCGTATTTTACTGTCCACCTTTTTGACTAAGCGGATTTACTCCACACCTTCTCTTTGAATAAGTGTATTTACCCCACACTTTATTGGTCAGGCGTATTCATTCTCCACATTTTTGGCTTGTTATAACAAATGATATTGTTTATGATGTAAATATGTTTACATACCATGGCTGACATTGTTTTTACCCTTCTGACATGTCCTACGCCATTTATTAAAATTGCATTACTGGATATATTTCGTTGTTTGTTGGTACTTGTAATACGATATTCTAAAGACCATGCATTTGTAGCTCAAGTCGGGATTCGATTATTGGAGATTATAACATAAAAAATCATCAGAGACGTCAAGGAGATATACAACATGTAAAACATTGACTAAATACAGGACTCTACCACACATGATAGTGTTCAAAGTGACTGACATGTTGGTATCATCAAAAAGTTTACTTAACAACATTATGTGTAATATGAAGTTCGACAACGTTGATGTGCATCAGAGTGTCTGGTGATTCCACTTTAACTACAATAAAAATATTTCCATTTTTAGAATATGATATCCATCCAAAAACAGTCAATTTGAGAGAAGAACGTCCAGTTCCTATCCTAAACCGTGCTACATTTAGAATCAGAATCAATTGTAATAATAACATACATCTAAGACAGTGAAGACTTACACTGTAATCGATGTCCCTGTCAGACAGAACAAGCGTACATTGTAATGAAAGGAACAGTGCTTATTTATTGGAGAGATGTATTGCATGAAACATGAAAATCCTTGATTTAAATATGCATTAATGTCTAATATCCCACGTTGTTTGGACACAAACTTCATACACAAGATATGAGTCTTAAGTGTAAATTTATAGCGATATCATTAATTATCTTTCTTAATTTGCATATTTCCTTCAATCTAAGAAAGAGAGCAACACATCACGTGGCAGCTGGCGTCGAATGTATAAACCTGTGATAGGATATCACGATATACACAGATGTGCTTTGTCAATATAACATGAAACTGTTCTTACCTTTGTAACATGTTAAATCAAGATAAATATAAAACGGGCTTAATTAAATCCAGCAAAAAATAAATGATTCAGCCATGTAAGTATTAGTCAATTCAAGTCAGCCATGTCACGTCCTCAAGTGAAAACAACGGAACCAACAGGTATATTAACTAGCATAAAACATATAAGACTTCATATCACTTTCATCGCAAAAACCTATCTTAGAGATATAGGTCAATCAAAGAAACATGAAAAATACCATCATGGCAACATAAGCATAATCCAAACTCAAATTACATAAAACTAGGGCAAAATATGAACAAAATAAAGATTTACACGGAGACTTTTGAAAGAGTTGAAGGAAAATAAGACCAGGTGTTTCGGAAGAATTTGCGTCTTCTGCGTCATCGACGACACCCGCCTGTAAATCTTGGTCAATCAAATGAGAACAAGATATACAAAAACGGAACCAACAGGCAAACTAACGATGATCAAACACGTCCAGCTTCATGTCACACAAAAAAATAGTATAGTTCTCAGAATTATGTTTCTTCAGGTAATCTTGAACGAACTTTTAACAAGCAGAAGAAATATATGTACTGACGAAGGGAAACACCAAAACTTCACCCTAAATTTATAGATATATATAAACAAACTAGACAAGACATGGATTATGGTTTATACATTATTTATAAGCACGAGAGATAACTTTTTGCAGTATAAGTAAAATCCTAATTTGTCCATATGTATATGTCATCAACTTGTACACAACGAAAGCAACACATAGTGACACAGGATTTGGTAAAATTAATACTAAGCAATTATTTCTTTTCATAGTAAGGCTATGCAATGCATTTACTAGACAATGGCGTATCATCAAAATTAAAGATGTAAATATTCTATAGATAATATTTGCAAAGAGCTGTTAAAGATCAAGAGATGTGTCGAAACTTTCTCTCAATTACGTATTATACATAGACAAACTATACAGGTGATTCAATTGTTTCTATAAATAACACCATATCACGGCTTGCCTCGTATAGGTTCCAGGCGAATGACATCTGTCATCTTTATTATGTACCAGGAGGCCCGTCTAACGCTCTGAGTAGGATCCTTCCCCACTTCGGTGAGTACAATATATCAAATCTATTTCATTCTGTATTTCTTTCCGTTTTATCAACTATTGATAACAACAACGTAACTGATAACTAAATAGATTAACAACTGAAAATTAATACATTTGATTAAGACTTGCTTGAAAACGCTGATGTAAGATGATATTCATTTCCCTGTGACAAACAATGCGCAAGCCAGATCATCAAACCTTATCCCATAGCATTACGTGAGGGCTGAGTAACCACTGTGTGTAATTCAACACAAGTATGTGTATGCATCATGTCTTTGACTTTAACAACGTCTTTAGAATATCACTTTTCGACAATTATGTCAATGCTATCACGGATATTTTTTTCTTTTATGACTTTATTTTTACAATTATAAGATTTCCTGTGAAATCCGACATAGGAGAACAAATTTAATGTGTTTAAGGATTGTTTAATGTAAATTATTCGTTCGATCATATTATCAGCAATTTGTTTTAAGGTTGGTATTATTTATGTGTTTTTATCACCCTTCACCATTATGACGTCACATATGATAGATTATAATTATACGTGGCTACAATATTAATTAAATGTGTCAGTTACGGAGCCCAAAGCTACCGATCAAACATTCTATTTTTTCAGAGCGTTTATACAATCAGTAATTTGTCGTTCAAAACGCCATAAAAACGTTAAAAAAATGAGTTTCCTTTGTCTTGAAAAATGTCAGAATGGTGACGTAAACACAGAAAAAGTACTGATGATTATTTTCGCTATTAGAGAGAAAAAAAAGGTTCAGGCATATTTGACAAAAAAAAAATAAAAAAAAAAACGCCTGACTGACCGAAACCATACCGATTAACCTTATGATCCCTTTGTTCATCTGTGTTTATATGCTCTTTTTCGATAGCCATTCTGCGTATTTCTAGAACAGGTCAGGTCATGTATATATGAAATAAATAAATGGAAACTCGTTCCTCCACCGTATCCTTTAGGTAATTTTGATAAAATTAATTTGATTTTCTCCACTGTACAATATAAATAACTAGACTAAGTATATTCCAACATGTCATGGAATTGAAGTAGAAAACTTTTGTTAGTCAAATCTTTATCTTAATCTGCACGCTTACAGTTTTGACAATGCTAAACATTCCAGTTTTTTTAGCAACATTGCAAATGGAATGTTTTCGATCATATTGATAATCTAACATCTGAAATCAGTAGAACCAGAAGATGATTCAGTTCAAAAGGTCGAAATGTGACACAATGTGTGACGATAAAGTTGTCTGATTTTCTCACACGATTGTTGACGTACACGTAATCTTTTTTATCGTCAGCAGTCATTTTGTAGCAGGTAATAAGCGATGTAAGCACATGTTGCTATATATGGAGTGAGACATAGTGATTTAACCTACCAATGGGCATTTCTTCAGTTGTTTTTCCCATAATTTAACTTTGCCAAATTACATATGGCTTCTTATTCTTAAACCATTGAATGCATATTTCTTCTCTTTGTATTTTAAACTACCAACAATGGTAAAGAGGAAATGTTTGCTTTGTATAATATTTACTTTGTCCTGTACTCAATCACTAGTTTTATGTCTTCTGTGCTTCGCTGACACCCCCGTTAGTTTGTTTATATATATATATATATATTTAAACTTATGCTGTAGTAATCTCTGGATATTTCAGCTATTCTATTTATGACCGATGTTTTGCTAATGATGTTTTCATTTATTTCAGTCCTCCAGAGTGTCTCCTCCTGAATCACGATGAAGTGGCCCATAGCTGTGCTCTTGCTGTCTCTATTAATTCAGGGTGAGGGCATGTCAAGCACATTTACATACATATTAGTCAACATGCTTATCATAAGATTAAGAAACCTGAAGGATCTAAAGCTGACTACTACAAATTGTAACATGTAAATTGTGCGATAAGTTTCAAAACCTTGAAATGATTGCACAAAAGACACATAGATGATTAACACCATTTGATACATATAAGTTGATATACAGAGGAACCAAGCTAGCGTTAAACTGCATCGTACATCTATTTCGTCCCCTATAGGACTCATCATTAATGACGAGGGCCTAAATTTCAAATCTAAAAGCGATTGAGGAAAATCTTAAGTGATCGAATGAAATTTCAAATACTAGATGTGGAGTCGTATACGCTCCATTATTCAATAAATTTCCATAAATTCCATACATATGATAATTTTCGAATTATCAATGTAAGATTACATATAACTTCAACAACAGATGTCAATTCCAAACAAAGTCACCATTCATACATGACATACATTATAAACGACAAGTTAGCAAAGCTCAGCAGTAAGTAATCCCTACAAATGACGAACAGATGAATATGACCATTTGATAGGAATTTGTTGATATAAATATTTCTCGTCGAATAATTAATTAAACCAAATCCGACAGTTGATCGCCTTTCTAGGTCAACTCCAGATTACTGGCGGTCTAATAAGAAAAAATGTAGAAGGTTAATCAGGAAGTATGATCGATGATAAAAAGAAACAAAAGGAAGAAAAAACTAAAAGTAAATCAACTTGTCTTTCAGTGGAAGGAAAATTATGCAAGAGACCCGGATGTTTTTGTAAAAACAACGGGATTCCCATAGACAAAAATTGTGAATGTCCAACCGGATATAAGGGCTTCGACTGCGGACTAAAAACACGTGAGTTTTATTTCGTGCGATTGATTTTGAAAATTACCTACGTATTACTTTAATGTTCAAACCATTCAGTGCAAGAAACTTACCGAACAGCCATCTATTCATTTTCCCATCCATCGTTCTTTCCAACCACATGTACATGTCCTACAATCACCCAATATTAAAAGATTGACACTATACGTGCTTCCTTTAGGGTATTAATGAACATTGATTGCGAATAAAATTTCCTTTATTCAATTTCACTTAATTACAATTTTCATGTTGTACTCGCAGGGAACCTATGTCCAACAAACATTTGTAAAAATGATGGTGTCTGCTATGACATGGGCAAATGTTATTGTCATGGTGACTTTTACGGAGATCACTGTGAATATCGAAAAGGTAAGATTGGATGAACTATCTTGTTTGGACTAGTATATATCATAAGATGACTTACATTAAAAATAATATGGCGGATATAAAAGGCTCTTCCGTCTCCAAGTGATAATATAAATGATATATGTCAGGTTGTGGCTATAGTTCATTTATTTATAAAAATAGTTTGAAATACGCATGCTTTTATTTAGTTATATATTTAAGGTTATCAAGTATCAAAGATTGTATACGCAAAATATAAAAAAGGAAAACGAAAAAATAGTTGAAATGAACTCAGAATGATAATTATCATAATTCATGTATAGATACATTATTAATACGATCCTAAATATATCATCATAACCATACCAAATACCAAGCACACTGATGAAATTAAATTCAGATAAAGTTTCCCAAAATTATTCGATTTCTTTTCTCATTTCGGATTGTAACATTAACTTATTTCGAATAAGAAACAATTTTGAAATAGAGCCATGTTCATACCGTACAGAACTGTACTGATTGGCTGGAATGTTCCATTTACCATTTTATGATTCCTTGTGAAAGTGAATGCGAGATGATTTGTAACGCTGTTGATATACAATTTTATGAAAACACTTATAAAGAGTTAATTTACTGAAAAAGTAAAGATAATATAAAAGTAAAACTGACTTTACAAAGTTCACATGTCTTTCTAGAGCCTCAAAATTGTGGAATGGACAGCATGCAAGTAGGATTTGCTATGCCAGTAACTATGGATTCAAACCCAGAAATCTTTGCATTACCAAACACGAAATGCAAATTCAAGCGTGCCTATGAAATCAAAGGGCATGACATTTATATGCTTGAGGTCAACCTTACCACAACACGGAACGCCAACTGTATGGATGCTGTTGTTGAAACAAGAATGGTACGTTTGTAATTAAATATATTGTGCATTAGAAAGGGACAGGTACTTTGTTATCAACGATAATAAAGTATTACCTTTCCAATCAATATATAAATATATATATATATATATTAATTAACCAGAGAATCATCCAACATCTTTGGTATTGAGTAGATAACATTAATTTAAGAGTTTTGGACATCTTGCATTCAGTTCCCTTTCACAATGAATGTTATATATTTGACATATTATGTTAAAAACAGTTTAAAAATAATCTTTCCCAGATAAATTATTTTCATTTTTATATACGTGACTACCATGTTATATCTATGAAAAAGAAGACGCTTACCGTTCCAGGACGCCTGATGTTTTTTTCCGTTCATACAATAAAGACCACCAACATTGCAAATATGATTACAAACACAAATTAAATGAAACTTGAACAAACTATGAACGAAGATTTCCACGGAAACTACTGAAAAGGTACATGAGTAATATGATAAGGTTTCCGGAAAAGTAAGTGTCTTCACTCGCTATTTACATTTTGGCCGAGTAAGTACGAAGTGTGACATACCTAGATGAGAACAAAATAAACAACGACAGGACAAGCAAGCATCTTCATCAGCAACACGTCCGACTTTTATTGCAAAACAAAATTTAATATTTCTTCTTCAACCCATATCTCTAGAATTTCTGTGTTGTCAATTGGTCGGTAAGTTGTCGAATACTTGCAAAAAGGTCATGATATTGGTAACAAACGCTTCAATATCAAATCAACTGCGACATGTTAACACCAAATGTTCGAGATGCAGGGAGGCTGCTATTTATTTATGAAAAATAAACCAAAGTGAAATTGGAATCATTAAGCTTCTTATACTGTTTGGTGGAAAGCTGTCCATGTTGATTTCATTGTAGGGAAATATCGAGTTAATAAGATCACGTGGAAAAGTTAGACGTCTCCTTAATTTCCAATCTTTTTCAATGGAACTTCGTGTGAATCTCTACCTCTCTCATCAAGGGGTTGTGGTAGCTTTTCTGGTTAGTACTATGGCGTCTTTCACTTCCTCAAAGACACCAAAGTATATTTGTTTGTTTATTTTCAATGTTAAACCTTAAACTACGAACGTGCTTTCCATACAATTATTTCAGGGCGATATGACAACATACTTGATCGATGCTCATGTCCGACGTGACCACGGTATGGATTCACCAAGAGATTGGACTGCAACGTTTCGATGCACGTATACCTCCATGTAAGTTAAGCTTATCAAAACATATACAGAAAAAAAGGAATATGATAAATTGGACTTTGATAATAGTTTTCCAAGAATAGGACTCGAATTTTCTTTCAATTACACACGTGTTTCATTGAACAATTTGTTTTGCAGCGGCACGCCAACACAACGAGATGTCACCGCAGAAGCGTCGGACGTTTTATTTGCTTTCACAGATGCCAACGAAACCCTGGTGGACAATATCGGAGCACAACAGCCGTTTGATATCGTCTTCTTCCTCAGACCTAACTCTAGTATGTATACCTTCCATGGATTGAACTCCATTACGTTCAATTTCTTACACATTACTTTAATACGTTCCAGTGGGAGTCAGGTGACTTTTCGCAGACCTATTATAGATATTCGCCTCATTCTTAAATCTAACACGCGTTCTCAAACCTTGGTTTATATCAGTATTATCATCATTATTATGTGTAATCTGCTGACATGAAAGTTTGTTTGTATTTTTGTTTTGTTATTTCGTTTTCATTTAATCGTAAATCTTTAAAACTTGCCGTTGTTGTTTCAGCTTACCTGAATCTGAGACTGGACAAACTGGTAGTATACAACCAGCTCAGCAACACTAAAATGTTCACACTGATTGATCGCGGGTGGGTATATATCTGAGTACGCTTGACCCTTAATAACCTACCAATACATCTTTTACTCTAAACATTTGTTGACAAATTACTAGTTTCATTAATCCGGACACTACCGATTGTTATACCGAACTACTATATAGATTGAAGATCATCACTGTTATCGTTTCAAATTCATACTCCGAATCATGACATTTTTTTTTGTAGACGAAGTGACTATATGTCCAGACGGCTAAAGCTTTACAGAGAACCAACAGATGAAGGTCAAACTCCATTCTATTTTGAAGTTGCCGAAAACGTGACAGTGCCTGCTGTCAAAGTTAAAGTGAGCGGACTCAGTGAAAAAGCTTCGATTTATGTCGATTATGAAATCCGGGTCTGCCAAACACACGTTTGTCCGATGTCGGTAAGTTATCTTTGATTCTAAATTTAAGTTACAAGATGCTACGATACATTCACTTGTATGTTAGTCCCCCACGATGTGTCATAACCCCATGCAACATTTATTTCCATTTGAATACGTCTCAAGATAATCACATTATCTAAATTCTTGGAAAAGGCTGATAAAGGCAAGACATGTTGTCGATTAAGATACTTTAACTTTAGTTATTTCTATGTACAGTTAAACAAATATAATTGACAACTTTTAATTCAATGATTTGATATCATACTGGAATTATTATCACATATGACAATTAGTACATTTTGAACTTAATTCAAGCCCTTCGCATCAATAAAGACTTTCAGAAAGATAATGCAGCTGAATCATGCAATTAATAATTCAACAAGCTATATTGTACCTCATTTGTTTTGGACGGTTTTGACCAATCTGAGCTGTGACCCTGCTTTTAGGGTTTGTTAATAGAAAGTTGTGAAATTTCTAATGGAGGCATTAATTGGTTTCATCGTCTTTATATTAGATATAATTAATTATGAGTGCAATTACTCTACATAAACATTGTCCTGTATTCTGAATTGCCTAATCTGAATTAGTCATTATATGAATACTATGTTTTTGTTAAAGATTGTACATGATATACAACACATTTTGCTAATTGAATACAATGTTAGAGTTAGATTAAGTAGAGGGCCTAAATTGTGTGATGCCGTGGAAGCGACTAAGGTGGATTCAGCTAAAGAAATTTCCCATGTTTATAATTCACTGTTTTTTCAGGTGGATTCCACATTCGGCCAGCAAGCACCAGGGATATTCAATATGCATGGACGTATCGGCTAATCAATACTTTCGCCTTTTATCATCATATTATCATGGATGTTAAGAAACATGGTTCAGAATCACCGTGTTTTTATTTGTAAGATTTTTGACTTTGACAAATAAAAAACATATTTTGTATAATTTTGTTGATTTTATTGATAGCTGCAAGGTGAAGCAAGCAATGTCCATGTAATATTTACATTGGACGTTCTGTCGTTCATCGAGGTGAATGAAACATGAATGCCTTCTGTCATCAATAAGGTTCTTAGCAGTGAATCTTATTCAATATATTATTTATTTAATATTGCGTCACATAATATCGTAAGTAGGATAATTGAAATAACATCTGATGAGAAAAATTATTACAAGTGTCAGTATATCTGTATGATATTTTATATTTCTATCAGAATAGCTGTTTAGATATTGAAAACACCTCGATAAGAATATCTTTAGAAAATGTAAAATTGATGTATTAAATTTATGTATGTTAGAAATCAGTTCTTTGTCTTTCCATGTGGCTTAACCTTTAACATTTCATATCTTCCAAACGTGACAAAGGTGAAGCTGTGAAATAATGAAATCGCTTTATGATACTATCTTCATATCATGATTTGCGAAGCACTTAACGATGACTAGAAGGTGTTACATTCATATAGAGAAAGGTAAAACAATTATGCAAATCAGATACAGTTGTAGGCAAGCATGTCACGCACACAAAATTTGTATAAGAATATAGAACATGTCACCTTAAACACTCATTTATCTTCCTATTGTCACGCATTCTTCATTACCACTTTATGATAAGTTGACAGCAGTCACGAAAACACCCCACAATATACTCTTTGTTACAAGAATAGTAGTATGACTGACCAAGACTCGATACGAACGATATGGATATAAATAAATCAGGATTTGTTTTTGTAATACGCAGAGAATATGAGAAGTATTTGAATTTCAAATTTCTGCGAAATAGTAACCTTAACAGATTGTTCAATAGACACACAAGTGAATAGCATCGTTTGACATAACTTTCATCAACTGCATCATACAGCCCATTTCTTCATTTAGAACACTCTGGTGGTGACATAATTTTCATAAACTACATCATACAGCTCATTTCTTCTTTTAGAACACTCTGGTGGTGACATAATTTTCATAAACTACATCATACAGCTCATTTCTTCTTTTAGAACACTCTGGTGGTGACATAATTTTCATAAACTACATCATACAGCCCATTTCTTCTTTTAGAACACTCTGGTGGTGACATAATTTTCATAAACTGCATCATACAGCCCATTTCTTCTTTTAGAACACTCTGGTGGTGACATAATTTTCATAAACTACATCATACAGCCCATTTCTTCATTTAGAACACTGTGGTGGTGACATAATTTTCATAAACTACATCATACAGCCCATTTCTTCTTTTAGAACACTCTGGTGGTGACATAATTTTCATAAACTACATCATACAGCCCATTTCTTCATTTAGAACACTCTGGTGGTGACATAACTTTCATAAACTGCATCATACAGCCCATTTCTTCTTTTAGAACACTGTGGTGGTGACATAATTTTCATAAACTACATCATACAGCCCATTTCTTCATTTAGAACACTCTGGTGGTGACATAAGTTTCATAAACTACATCATACAGCCCATTTCTTCATTTAGAACACTCTGGTGGTGACATAACTTTCATAAACTACATCATACAGCCCATTTCTTCATTTAGAACACTCTGGTGGTGACATAACTTTCATAAACTGCATCATACAGCCCATTTCTTCTTTTAGAACACTCTGGTGGTGACATAATTTTCAGAAACTACATCATACAGCCCATTTCTTCATTTAGAACGCCTCTGGTGGTGACATAATTTTCATAAACTACATCATACAGCCCATTTCTTCTTTTAGAACACTCTGGTGGTGACATAACTTTCATAAACTACATCATACAGCCCATTTCTTCTTTTAGAACACTCTGGTGGTGACATAATTTTCATAAACTACATCATACAGCCCATTTCTTCTTTTAGAACACTCTGGTGGTGACATAATTTTCATAAACTACACCATACAGCCCATTTCTTCTTTTAGAACACTCTGGTGGTGACATAATTTTCATAAACTACATCATACAGCCCATTCGTTCTTTTAGAACACTCTGGTGGTGACATAATTTTCATAAACTACATCATACAGCCCATTTCTTCATTTAGAACACTCTGGTGGTGACATAATTTTCATAAACTACATCATACAGCCCATTTCTTTTTTTAGAACACTCTGGTGGTGACATAATTTTCAGAAACTACATCATACAGCCCATTTCTTCATTTAGAACACTGTGGTGGTGACATAATTTTCATAAACTACATCATACAGCCCATTTCTTCTTTTAGAACACTCTAGTGGTGACATAATTTTCAGAAACTACATCATACAGCCCATTTCTTCATTTAGAACACTCTGGTAGTGACATAATTTTCATAAACTACATCATACAGCCCATTCGTTCTTTTAGAACACTCTGGTGGTGACATAATTTTCAGAAACTACATCATACAGCCCATTTCTTCATTTAGAACACTGTGGTGGTGACATAATTTTCATAAACTACATCATACAGCCCATTCGTTCTTTTAGAACACTCTGGTGGTGACATAACTTTCATAAACTACATCATACCGCCCATTTCTTCTTTTAGAACACTCTGGTGGTGACATAATTTTCATAAACTACATCATACAGCCCATTCGTTCTTTTAGAACACTCTGGTGGTGACATAATTTTCATAAACTACATCATACAGCCCATTTCTTCATTTAGAACACTGTGGTGGTGACATAATTTTCATAAACTACATCATACAGCCCATTTCTTCTTTTAGAACACTCTGGTGGTGACATAATTTTCATAAACTACATCATACAGCCCATTTCTTCATTTAGAACACTCTGGTGGTGACATAACTTTCATCAACTGCATCATACAGCCCATTTCTTCTTTTAGAACACTGTGGTGGTGACATAATTTTCATAAACTACATCATACAGCCCATTTCTTCATTTAGAACACTCTGGTGGTGACATAAGTTTCATAAACTACATCATACAGCCCATTTCTTCTTTTAGAACACTCTGGTGGTGACATAACTTTCATAAACTGCATCATACAGCCCATTTCTTCTTTTAGAACACTCTGGTGGTGACATAACTTTCATAAACTGCATCATACAGCCCATTTCTTCTTTTAGAACACTCTGGTGGTGACATAATTTTCAGAAACTACATCATACAGCCCATTTCTTCATTTAGAACACTCTGGTGGTGACATAATTTTCATAAACTACATCATACAGCCCATTTCTTCTTTTAGAACACTCTGGTGGTGACATAAGTTTCATAAACTACATCATACAGCCCATTTCTTCTTTTAGAACACTCTGGTGGTGACATAATTTTCATAAACTACATCATACAGCCCATTTCTTCTTTTAGAACACTCTGGTGGTGACATAATTTTCATAAACTACACCATACAGCCCATTTCTTCTTTTAGAACACTCTGGTGGTGACATAATTTTCATAAACTACATCATACAGCCCATTCGTTCTTTTAGAACACTCTGGTGGTGACATAATTTTCATAAACTACATCATACAGCCCATTTCTTCATTTAGAACACTCTGGTGGTGACATAATTTTCATAAACTACATCATACAGCCCATTTCTTCTTTTAGAACACTCTGGTGGTGACATAATTTTCAGAAACTACATCATACAGCCCATTTCTTCATTTAGAACACTGTGGTGGTGACATAATTTTCATAAACTACATCATACAGCCCATTTCTTCTTTTAGAACACTCTGGTGGTGACATAATTTTCAGAAACTACATCATACAGCCCATTTCTTCATTTAGAACACTCTGGTGGTGACATAATTTTCATAAACTACATCATACAGCCCATTCGTTCTTTTAGAACACTCTGGTGGTGACATAATTTTCAGAAACTACATCATACAGCCCATTTCTTCATTTAGAACACTCTGGTGGTGACATAATTTTCATAAACTACATCATACAGCCCATTTCTTCTTTTAGAACACTCTGGTGGTGACATAATTTTCATAAACTACATCATACAGCCCATTTCTTCTTTTAGAACACTCTAGTGGTGACATACTTTTCATAAACTACATCATACAGCTCATTTCTTCTTTAAGAACACTCTAGTGGTGACATACTTTTCATAAACTACATCATACAGCCCATTTCTTCATTTAGAACACTCTGGTGGTGACATAATTTTCATAAACTACATCATACAGCCCATTCGTTCTTTTAGAACACTCTGGTGGTGACATAATTTTCAGAAACTACATCATACAGCCCATTTCTTCATTTAGAACACTCTGGTGGTGACATAAGTTTCATAAACTACATCATACAGCCCATTTCTTCTTTTAGAACACTCTGGTGGTGACATAACTTTCATAAACTGCATCATACAGCCCATTTCTTCTTTTAGAACACTCTGGTGGTGACATAACTTTCATAAACTGCATCATACAGCCCATTTCTTCTTTTAGAACACTCTGGTGGTGACATAATTTTCATAAACTACATCATACAGCCCATTTCTTCATTTAGAACACTCTGGTGGTGACATAATTTTCATAAACTACATCATACAGCCCATTTCTTCATTTAGAACACTCTGGTGGTGACATAACTTTCATAAACTACATCATACAGCCCATTTCTTCTTTTAGAACACTCTGGTGGTGACATAATTTTCATAAACTACATCATACAGCCCATTTCTTCTTTTAGAACACTCTGGTGGTGACATAATTTTCATAAACTACACCATACAGCCCATTTCTTCTTTTAGAACACTCTGGTGGTGACATAATTTTCATAAACTACATCATACAGCCCATTCGTTCTTTTAGAACACTCTGGTGGTGACATAATTTTCATAAACTACATCATACAGCCCATTTCTTCATTTAG